TTTGCATTCCCATTAGCAAAGAATGAGCATACCTGCTGCTCCACATCCTTACCAGCCTTTGGTGTTGTCAGCGTTTTGTAGTGATATTTCATTGTTTTAACTTGTAATCCCCTAATGACATCTGATATTGAGCATCTTATGCTCATTTGACATCTGTATATCTCATTTGGTGAGGTATCTCTTCAGATCTTTTGCCAATTTTTAACTGGGTTGTTTATTTCCTTGTTGTTCTTAGAGTTCTTTGTATATTTTTTATACAAGCGCTTTGTCAGATATGTACTTCACAAATGTTTTCTCTTAGTTTGTGGCTTGTCTTTTTATTCTCTTATCAGTGTCTTTTACAGAGTAGCATATTTAATTTGTCTTTTTTTTTTAAAGATGACCAGTAAGGGGATCTTAACCTTTGACTTGGTGTTGTTAGCACCATGTTCTCCCAATTGAGCTAACCGGCCATCCCTATATAGGGATCCAAACCCATGGCCTTGGTGTTATCAGCACCACACTCTCCCAAGTAAGCCACAGGCCAGCCCTCAGCATATTTGATTTGAATGAAGTTCAACTTCCCATTTTTTTTCTTTCATAGACTGTGGTTTTGCTATTGCACCTACAAAGTACTCAACAAATCCCAAGTCACCTAGATTTTCTCCTATATTATATCGTAGAAGTTTTATAGTTTTGTGTTTTACATTTAAGTCTATTATCCATTTAGAGTTAATTTTTATGAAAGGTGTCTAGATCCTTTTTTTTTTTTTCATGTGGATGGCCAATTATTGCACAGCATTTGTTCAAAGGACTGTCCTTTCTCAATTGACTCATCCATACATTTTTTTTTTTTGTCAATAATGAGTTTCCTTTATTGGTGGTGGTCTATAATTGAGCTCTCTGCTCTGTTTACTTTTGACCTATTTGATTATTGTTTATGCAATGTCATGATATCTCAATGACTGTAGCTTTATAGTAAATCTTAAAGTCAGGTAGTGTTAGTTCTCAGACTGTTCTTCAGTATCAGGTTGGCTGTTGGGTCTTTTGCCTTTCCATATACATTTTAGAATCAGTTTGTTAATATTCACAAAATCATTTGCTGGGATTCTGATTTGGATTGTGTTGAATTCATCAGAGAACTGATATCTTAGCAATATTGAGTCCTCCTATTTGTGAAAATGACATAACTTTATTTATATCTTACTTTGATTTCTTTCATTGGAATCTTATCATTTTCCTTTTATAGATATTCTGCATATTTTATTAGACTTATACCTATGTATCCCATCTTTGTTTGTTTGCTTGGCAGCTGGCCAATATGGGGGATCCAAACCCATGACCTTGGTGTTATAAGGCTGTGCTCTAACCAACTGAGCTAAGCGGCCAGCCCCCTTTAGCATTCCATCTTCTGATGTTGATATAAATAGTATTCTGTTTTTAATTTCAAATTCCAATTGTTTATTGCTGGTATATAAGAAAGGAACTGGCTTTTGTATGTTAACCCAGGTGACAAAAAAATTCAGAAAAGAATTTTTAAAAATGAAGAAAGTTTAAGAGAACTAGAAGACAACCTTAAGTGCACAAATATTCAAATCATGGGTGTTCCAGAAGGGGAGGAGAAAGGAAAAACAAAACAACAAAGGCATGGAAAACCTATTCAGTGAAATAATAACAGGACACTTCCCAGGTATACAGAGAGACACAGATGTTCAGATCCAGGAGACTCAAAGGTCCCCAAACAGATTCAACCCAAAAAAGATTCTCTCTCTGCTTTTTAAACTTTATGTCCCCTGTAGTTACCAATTCTGCATGTAGTAGTCCTGTAGAAATAAGTATGTTAAACTGAACCAACTTGATGCGAGGAACTCTCTGCAGGGCTTGTTTTCCAAAGAAAAGTATTGTTTAAAGGAACAAAATTATAAGCCTACCTTGGCCGGTTGTTTGAAAAGTAACTCAGAACATGGCTTGTGAATGGAAATGTAGTGCCTGAGTCACATTCTTTTTAAAAGGTTGTAACAAATACAGATGAGCTAAAAGGAAAAAACAAAGAAACAAACAAAACATAAAACCAAAAACCAGACCCCTTGCATGCCTGGCTGGGTCACCAGACCCCCTCACACACAGGCCCATGAGCTAGGTAATTGGGAAAGATCTCAGGAGCCATTGGGAGATAACAAAAGCTCAGTCCTCAGCTTCCTCAGCAGCAGCGGTGGTGGCCTCCCACGGGGTTCTGGGGTCCCTGGCAGCAACAGCTTGCAGGAGTAGCCACCAGCAGCAGTAGCAACCTCCCCATGGCCTGCCCCCCAAGGGCATCCTGGGGGTTGGGGGCACCATGGAGAAGAGCCACTTGTCCTTTATACTTAAGTCCATAACACAGGACACCAGGGTACAAATCAGACAACCCAGGAACACCTGAGTGCGCATGCACAATTACATTAGACAATAACCAAGGAACACACGCGAGCACGTGCATGTTTACATCAAATCTTGGCAAGATTCTGAACATCTGAGGGGCCCTGAGCATCTTCCTCCACTTTCCCTACACCCAGTTTCTCCTAATGTTAACATCTTATATTACCATGGAACATTTGCCAAAACTAAGAAACCAACATTAACACATTACTATTAACTGAACTGTAGACTTCATATACTAATGTGCTTTACTCTAAATTTGCTTTAGGGGCTGGCCTGTGGCTCACTTGGGAGAGTGTGGTGCTGATAACACCAAGGCCACGGGTTCAGATCCCTATATAGGGATGGCCGGTTAGCTTACTTTGGAGAGTGTGGTGCTAACACCAAGTCAAGGGTTAAGATCCCTTACTGGTTAAATAAATAAATAAATAAGTAAGTAAGTAAGTAAGTAAGTAAGTAAGTGTGTTTTGAACCTCCAATTATATTAACAGCAAATATTATAAATAAGTAAGTAAGTAAGTAAGTAAGTGTGTTTTGAACCTCCAATTATATTAACAGCAAATATTTTCATGTTGTCTTATCCATGCCTAGAGTGTTTTTTTTAAAGAATAAACTAAATTTGAAATTTTAGATTTATACAAAAGTTGAAAAGAGCTTATAAAAACTGACATGTGAGTTTCCAGCCATACTATGATCATGTCTTTTAGTTTTCTCTGGTCTGTAAAACTTTCCATGTTTTCTTGTTCTTGTGAGAAGTACTGGTCAGGTTTTTTGTTAACTATTCCTGTGCTTTTTATGTTTAAACTTGAGTTATGGGTTTCGGGAAAGAACACCATAGAAGTAAAGTTGCTTTCTCCTAACATCACAGCAGAGGGCAAATGATATAAATATGAATGACCACACTGGTGATGTGAATTTTGACCTTTTGGTTAGGGTAGGATAGCAAGTATAGCATTTGCCAGCTTTCTCCACTATAAAATTACTATTTTTTACCCTTTCCAGACTCTGTTCTTTGGATGAGAGTTACTAAGTTCATCCCACACTCAAAGTGGTGAGGATTTAAGCTCCGCTTTCTGGACAGGACATTCTCTACTCATTTGGAATTCTTCTGATATGAAGATTTGCCCCTCCACCTCGTTGATATAACTAATTCAATCATTTTTTCTAAATCTCAGCTACCTCTGCTTTATGATATCAATCCCAGGGGTCCTTCTCTGATGAGGATTTTTCTTCCTGGTTCAACTGCTTCTCTCAGAGCCTGGGCCTGCACCTGCCTACAGGAAATGAGAAGAAGTCTGTTTATAAAAGGGATGGCTTGTTTGTGTAAACCTCATTTTGTGCGCGTAGAAGAATGGGGTCACTTCTCTGTTCCTGATCATGCCCTAGTCCAGTCTTGCCCTGGGAACTAGTCATGCCAGTCCCAGTCCCTGTATGGTTTAGTCTGACTGCAGTGGTCTTAGCCATTGTGGTCACCAGCATTATGGGTGTATCTTCCATGGCCTGGCCTAGTGGTCAGCAGAAATCTTCTAATCCATGCCAGTCCCAGTCCCTGTATGGTTTAGTCTGACTGCAGTGGTCTTAGCCATTGTGGCCACCAGCATTATGGGTGTATCTTCCATGGCCTGGCCTAGTGGTCAGCAGAAATCTTCTAATCCCCATTTCTTTATGACATGGAGTGATAGTATGTAATATAGTTTTAGGGGGATGCTGTCTTAACACAGTTTTGAGGCCATGGCTAGAGGCCTTTTAGTCCTTCTTGTACAACAGGTTAAATACATACCCCAACCATTTCCCTTACTGAACTTCCACACTCACAGACCACTATGCACATATCCCAACTACCCCCGGGCCAGATACCAAACAACTAGGGACAGCCCCTCTGCACTTGAGCCCACAGAATTATTCAAATTACGATCAATCCATTCTTGTGAGGGTGTGGTCCTCACAATCTAACCACCTCTCCAAGGCCCCACCTTTCACTACCACAGTAGGATTTCCCACCCTCAGCTATCACAGTGGGTATTAAGCTTCAATGACCTTGGGGGGCCATTGAGTCCACTGCAGTGGGTATACTGTGTGTTTAATGGATAGAGAAATTGTATCTCCACAGAAAAAATATCTGTGATGTATTAATTATGATGAATTATTATCCCTCTTGGAATTAGGCAATGTCTATTTGAGGAAAAGATAACATTATATTAGCATGATTGTGGGTTTCAGACAAAAAAAGATCTGGGACTCAGCAGTTTGAAAGTCAGATGTATCTTCTCAGTTCTCTGTTTAAGAAAATACTTTAATATCACCCTAAGCTCACAAAAAATGTATTTAAATTTATTTAATGCACAACTTTTCCATGTCTTCTGGATGCCATTTTAAATATTTGTCTTCTTAAAGAATATTTCAATAATTATTACATTGTTCCTAGTAGAGTTTCAGTTAATCCTCCTTTGTTATTAATCACTTATATGGTATGTAATTAATAATAATAATTTAACCTCTATCTTTCAGTGTTTTGGCTCTCATACATGTTTCAAAACCCATAGCGTAGCCCACCATATAATGGTTCAAGGACTTCTGTGAGTGCTGTCATTCTATTCTTGTTTTAGGATAAGGACAGACGCATCTTCTGTCAGTCTGATAATATTGAGACATTCTTGCTCCAGTAAATCCAACACTTAGTCTTGGATAATCTTTCTTATAGGAGTTAGTGGTAGTTAGTGTATTATCATCTATATGCATCTCTAAGTATATATTCATAGGTAATATTGGCTTATAAAATAAATTTATAAACAATTATATAATTGCCACAGTCACAATTATATTGAAGATAACCATTTAAATTGGCAAAGGACATCAGCAAAAATAAGTACAAAAGGTGAGGACATTAAGAGCAAAACTGACTGGCTTTCTTCACGTGGCATCATGGTTGAGATGTGTCTTTGAAGCCACACAACACAGGCTCACTTCTGACGATGCCACTTACTGGGAAGTGAGTTGGAACAGTCTTTAGACACTTCACCTAGGGCCTCCTCATCTGTAAAGAAGAACAGCAACAAGATTTACCTGAGAGTTGAAGATTCAATTAGTTATTACATATAAAACATTAATAACAATAACAGTGACTGTTACATTAAGCATCACATACAAGGCATAATATACAAATTTACAAAATCACTTATTAATGGAAAATATATTTAATAACTTTCTGAAGGAGAATAGTGAATTTCATTTGTCATGAGAAAAGTAGCAAAAATCTCATGTTTCCCTGCAGGACTTTCTTGCTCTGAATATGAATATCAGCATTTGGGAAGTGGCAGAATGACATCCAGGGATTTGACAATAGAGAATACCTCTTTATTACAAACTATAGTTGAAATCTTGGGAATTTCTTTTTTTATCATTGTGTCATCATTTACTTCACTGGATGCAGTTTAAAGCCCACAGATTTGAATCTCAGGCACCTGATTTTTGGCAATATTCTGATGCTCCTCTCTAAAGGTGTCCCCCACACAAGGGCAGCTTTTGGGTTGAAGTATTTCCTTAGTGATTTTGGAGGCAAACTTCTATGTTCGCAGAGTGGCCAGGAGTGTGTCCTTTGGCACCATCTGTCTGTTGAGTATCTTCGAGGCCATCGGGGTCAGCCCCAGAAACTCCATGTGAACAGAGATTGAGGTAAAACCCCCAAGTACGCTGGCTTCTCCATTTGCCTGTGCCGGATTTTGTACGTGCTTATAAATATAGTGGTTTTTATACATGTCTGATAAATGGAGCGCTAAGAAACCATGAAGCAGAAGGATTTGGGATACTCTTCTAATTCACTTCTTGAGAAAATACCAACCACATTACTGGCAGCTTTTTTAACCTCTCCTAATGTTTTATATTTCAGACTCGTGATCTTGGCCAGTGGGTACATGGTTTTCATCTTGTAAAGACACACGCAGTAGGTGTAACACACTCAAAGGAACAACTTCCCAAACAGATCCTCTCCTGGGACCAGAGCTGGCCAAAGATTCCTTGCCTGGGTGAGCACTTTTGTATCTCTCTACAGTCTTTCCTCCATCTCTGTGATTTATAGAGTGACTTTTGATGATCTCAGTTGGTGGCTGCTTAACATCACCTTCCTAATTCATTTATGTTTCCCAACTCTCAGTCCCTTTGTTCACTGTGTTTAACCAGTACTCGTCAAAGCTGACAAAGTTATCAAAAAGAGGAAAAGTCTGAAAACTGTTAGAGCCAAGAGGAACCTAAAGAGACACGATGACTACATGTAATGTGGTAACCTGGATGGAATCCAGGGAGACGAAAAAGACATTAGGTAAAAACTAAGGAAATCAGAATAAAGTATGCATTAGTTAATAATAATACATCAATAGTGGTTCATGAATTATAAAAGAAAATTCCATACTAGTATAACATGCTAATAATAGGAAACATTTGGTGTATGGTATATGCGAACTCTAAACTATCTCTTAATTTTTTTTTCTGTAAATCTAGTATTGTTCTAAAAATAAAGCTCAGTCTTTTTTTAAAAAAAATAACTAATAATTTGCACAACTTAATGAATATTGACATGGAAACCCAGATGAACTGGAAACTTCTTAGGAAAGGGTACTCTACCAATATTGACAGTAGTAGAAATAGACCATCTAAACAGAACATAAGATAAAATATATAAGATGATTTAACAGAGAAATTCTACCAATCTTTTAAATACATTAAAATCAATGATGCTTGAAATATTCAAAGATCATTGAAGATACAGGAAAACTCAAAATAGTTTTCTACTTGAATAGAATATTTATACCAAGGCCATTTAAATATTACTGCAAATAAAGTTATTAAGGACAGGGCCGGCCCGGTGGCGCACTGGATAGTGCGCCGCTTGGGAAGTGTGGCGGCGCTCCCGCCTGAGGGTTCGGATCCCCCGTGCAGACCGGCTCCCGCTCCCTGGGTGAGCGAGGCGTGGGAGCAACGCCGAGGGTTGCAATCCGTTGCCGGACACGGAAAAAGTACAAAAGAAAAAAAAAAAGTTATTAAGGACGGGGCCGGCCGGGTGGCGCACTGGATAGGGCGCCGCTTGGGAAGCGCGGCGGCGCTCCCGTCCGAGGGTTCGGATCCCCCGTGCAGACCGGCTCCCGCTCCCTGGGTGAGCGAGGCGTGGGAGCAACGCCGAGGGTTGCAATCCGTTGCCGGACACGGAAAAAGTACAAAAGAAAAAAAAAAAGTTATTAAGGACGGGGCCGGCCGGGTGGCGCACTGGATAGGGCGCCGCTTGGGAAGCGCGGCGGCGCTCCCGTCCGAGGGTTCGGATCCCCCGTGCAGACCGGCTCCCGCTCCCTGGGTGAGCGAGGCGTGGGAGCAACGCCGAGGGTTGCAATCCGTTGCCGGACACGGAAAAAGTACAAAAGAAAAAAAAAAAAAGTTATTAAGGACAGGAAAACACCAAAGAGGTTTTTTCCTACTCTCACACATCAATCATGCAAGCAAGCAATTCTCCAGCAGACACCTGCTGGATTTTCCCTAATTCAATTCAATTCTGGCACTATTTCTTTGGAGACAGTGTCAGATCCCACACATTAAGGACTCAGTCCCACAGAATGACCCCACTTCAGATGCCAATCTCAAGCTCCAAATTGTGACCTGTGCTTCAGACCCATCAGCTATAAATCAGGGTTCCCATGACCCCCTCACTGGGATGAATTAATTGGCTAGGAGAAGCTCACAAAACTCAGGGAAACAGTTTACTTAAGTTTACCCATTTATTATAAATAACATTATAAAGGGTATAGATGAATGGCCAGATGAAAAAGACACATAGGGTGAGGAATGGGGACATGAGCATCCATGACAGAGCACGGGAGTGCCACCCCACAGGCACCTCCATGTGTTCAGCTATCCTGAAGCTCTCAAAACCCAGTCCTACTGGGTTTTAATGAAAGCTCATTATGTAGGCATCATTGATTAAACCATTGGCAAACAACTTAACTTTCAGCCCCTCTCTCCCCTCCCTGGAGGTAGGGAGGTGAGGCTGAAAGTTCCAACCCTCTAATCACAGGGTTGGTTCCCCTGGCAGCCAGCTTCCATTCTGAGGAGATTCCCAATCACTCTGGAGATTCCAAGGGTTTTAGAAGCTGTGAGCCGTGAAATGGGGTCAAAACCAAGTACATACAGACATGCATGGGAATGCGTGATGGGAATACATTCTGAGAAACGTGTTGTTAGGCGATCTCATCATTGTGCAAACATCACAGAGTGCACTTGCACAAACCTAGATGGTATAGCCTACTGCACGCCTAGGCTAAATGGTATGGCCTGTTGCTCCAAGGCTACAAACCCGTACAGCATATAACTACCCCGAATACTGTAGGTGATTATAACACAGTGGTATTTGTGAACCTAACACATGTAAACATAAAAAAGGTACAGTAAAAATATGGTATAAAAATAAAAAATGGTACACCTGTATGAGGACAGTTACCATAAATGGAGCTTACAGGACGGAAAGTTGATTGGAGCGAGTGAATGAGTGAGTGGTGAGTCAATGTGAAGGCCTCGCACATTACTGCACGTTACTGTAGACTTTACAAACACTTTATACTTTGGCTACACTAAATTTCTTTTTAAAAAATAAATTGTGCTATGACGTTAAAGCAGCTATGACTGTTGACTGTCAAAGTCACTAGGCAATAAGAAATTTTCAGCTCCATTATAACCTTAATGGGACCACCATTGGATACATGGTCCATTATTGACCTAAATGCTGTTATGCAGTACACGACTGTATATCTTATTATAAATTACAATATGATAAAAGTATTACAAAAATACTTGTGTCTGCATATTCATAGGAAGATCTTAGTAAAATGTTATCAAACAGTTTGCAATTTTTTTTTTTTTTTTTTTGTCTTTTGTCTTTTTTTCCATGTCCGGCAACGGATCGCAACCCTCAGTGCCCCCATACCGGACCGGGGACCGGCAACGGGATCGCAAGCCTCGGCGTAACAGTTTGCAATTTTTGATTAAAAATATATGATGAGCAGATGCAATTTACTAGGAATGCAGGAGAGATTCTATATCAGGAAATCCACTCATGCAATTCATCATACTTATGCAGATAAAAGGGTAACAGGATGCTCATGTTCGGGAGTACAAAATAAAAAGTATTGGCATAATTCAGCAGGGATTCATATGACATATAAACAGTGAATTAGGAATTGATGTATTTTCATAAAAAAAGAGGGTAAAGCCCTCATCAATCTTTTGGGTAACACTAGAGAAACTCCCACTAAAGTCAGAAATAACAATTAAGAACTTCAAATCTCTGCTGTATACGACATCACCTTGGAGGGAATATCCATGACAATTTAACAAAGAAGAGTAAGAAGTAAGAAAAGAATTGTAAACAAAAGGGCAAAAGACTATCCGCGGTTGATAAAATAATATTTCTAAAACTACGAAAAAAATAAAACAAATAATTATGTTAATTAGAGGAATAAAAGGTGATATAGGGACAATTATAGCCTTTATGTTTACAAAGTATAATCAGTTACAAGGCACAGCAGAAGGTAAGGCTGAAGTTACATAAATTTAAAATAGAATAAAAAATAACATAGGATGTAAAAGGTCACATGTCGTATAATGCTGTTTACATGAAATATCCAGTGTAGGCAAATCCATACAAACAGAAAGAAAATTAGTTGTTGCTGGGGGCTGAGGGGAGGGGGAAATGGGGAGTGACTGCTTAATGGGTACAGAATTTCCTTTCGGGGTGATGAAAATATGCTGGAACTAGATAACGGTGATGGTTGTACAACGAGGTAATTGTACTACATGTCACTAATGGTAAAATGTATGTTATGTCTATTATACAACAGTAAAAAAGTTAATTTATAATAAAATACCTAGGCACAGCAGAACATCATAATTTTCATTTAGATAACTTATAAAGTTAATTTCATAGCATATACATACCATTAGATTTTGTTCTGGAATAAGTGTTTTATTGCAGATTTCATGTAGAAGCATAAACAAATTCAAACTGGGAAAACTGAAAAAGAAACACTGCAAAGGATATGAACATATTTTTTTTTTTTTTTGTCTTTTTTCGTGTCCGGCAATGGATCGCAACCCTCAGTGTCGCCACCGGGACCGGCAACGGATCGCAACCCTCAGTGTCGCGACCGGGACCGGCAACAGGATTGCAACCCTCGGTGCTGCGCCCGCACCTCGCTCAGCCAGTGAGTGGGAACCAGTCTGTATGTGGGATCCGAACCCTTGGCGGGAGCGCCGCCGCGCTCCCAAGCGGCGCACTGTAGCAGTGTGCCACCGGGCCGGCCGATATGAACATATTTTAAACACACCATAATGAGAACTGATGTTGGAGATACAGGTTCTTGGATTTCTCAAGGGGAGAATCCCATCAGGAACCTACAATAACTTCAAGTTCACGTGACAGCGTCACACTCACGCTCAAAGTTTATTGCAAAGCAAAAGTACAGGCAGGAGGTGCACAGGCATTTCCTCATGAGCAAGGAACGCACCATGAATTCTCAGGAAGAGTTTATATGTTGTTCTGGGATGGGGGTGTTTCTCTACCTGAACTCAGGGAAAGAATATTCAAGACAAAGGGGGAGAAAAAGGAGTTTGGGTGCCTTTGTGCTTGAGCAAGCTCTTTTCTGAGAATCAAAGAAAAAGGGATTTTTTTGTACTTTGTGGTTTTGTTTCCTGGTCAGAAATCCACAAAGCTCGGAAGAAGGGGAAGCTTATTTGTAAGGTGGTGTCATGCACAGACCCTTATCGGTAGGCAAGGACCACTCAAGACCAAATTACTGATGGTCGAATGACATGGTTTATTGATCACACATATCAGACATAACATATTATCATTTTTAATTACTCTATGTCCTAGCCTACTTCTAACTTAACCTAAATAACCCCTTAAGGGCACACTGCACACAACTCCTATTTTTTATTCTATTAGGAACAGGTCAGGGATCTTACACCTCTGGCACAAAGTCCTTTCCTGACTCACATCTACTAGGAATTGGGTACACCTGATGGACCACGATTGACGTTTCTTGAGAGCATGGCTTGAGAGTGGCATACACCCAGGTACCTTCTCTGTGTAACAGAGGCAGGGCTCAAGGGTCCTTACCCTTATGGGCTAAAGTTC